CTGTCCACGGTGTCGGCTGGAGGAGCTATTAAAGTGGGGAAATTCTTCTTTCCTCTCAGATCTTTGTCTGCTTTTTAACCACCTGCTTTCTTTGTCTCTTACTGCCTCCCTACCAACTTGAACTGGGATCCTCTCCCAGGAAAATTAATCAAATATTTCCTTCCATTCCCCATATCCAATCTCAATCAGTCAGGGAAGGACAAAGTCTCCAACCGTCCAAAGGCCCTCCCACTCATGTCTTTTCAATTGCCCACGGATGTCCAGAGCAAGGGATTTGATACCCTTGGCACCAGTGAATAACCTTGCTTTTCCAGATCAGGTCAATGGTTCTTCTACCTCTTGAGCTTTCTGTGGTAGCTCCTGAAACATGGAGAAGTGTCTTCACCAAGCTCTTTTCAGAAAAAAACAATATAAAAATACCTTGACTATACAATTTTAGGTGTACTCTGTAAGCCCGTGTACAATGTGTGTGTTTGTGTGTGCTTTCTTAGATACGCAGGTGAAAAAAATAACTAAGAACTTAAGTTTGGAGACAGTATATATAGTGGAAAGCTCTCAGGCTTTCTAGCAAAACAGATCTGTGGCAAATGATAGCCCCGCACTTAGAACCAATGTATCTCTGGGGAAAGTCTTTAATCTTCCTATTCCTTAGTTTCTTTGTTTATAAAAAGAGAATAAGGCTTAAATTGTAGAGGTGTGCTTTAGTCTTCTATGGCTGCCATAACAAAGTACCACAAACTGGATAACTTGAACAGCAAAAATGTATTCTGTTCTAGAGATTGGAAGTTTGAAATTAAGGCGTGGGCAAGGTTGGTTCCTTCTGCAGGCTCTGGTCTGGGGCCTTGCTCCTTGGATTCTAGATGGCTGTCTTTATATTCACATGGTGTTCTCCCCATATGTGCATCTCTGTGTCCAAATTTCCACCTTTTATAAGGACATCAGTCATACTGGATTAGAACCCCTCCTAAAGACCTCACTTTAACCTAATTACTCCTGTAAAGACCCTATGTCCAAATAAGGTCACACTTTGAGATCTTAGGAGTTAGGATTCCAACTTGTCTTTTTGGAAGGAACAAAGTCAACTCATAATAGGTTGCTAAAGGAATTAAATATGGTAACTTATATAAAGTACCTAGCAGAAACCTTGGGTTATGAGAAGTACTTAAATAGCAAGTATCTATTTGCTATTAATGGTTTTGCCTTCTGTTCTTTGTAATGATCTTATAAATACATGGTTACTATCTAGGATTAATAGACATATATAGAGAGGGCCTATATAGGGAAAAAGTATTAATAAACCAAAAATGTCAGACATAAGAACAATTATTGAGAATAAAAGGCTTTATATTTATGTATGTGTTTGGGGTAGAAGTGGGAAAGAGTAGGAATATAGGATAGATCATGAATGAAGGGCATAGAATTTAATTATCCAGATTGATTGATTTTGAATTGATTAACACTGGGTTTTACTTGACTTTGAAAACAGAATTAAAGAGAGACACAGAATCAAAGTTTACCTTTGAACAATATAATCCATGCCAGAAACAGTCTGAATCATATTTTTAGAGCAAACAGAGTCATTAGACAATCAGTCACTTGATTCTAATGACAGAAAAACTCAGACTGTAATTATTCACAAATAGTATTATTTGGAAAGTGTTTACTAGCCTCTATGGAATTTAAAAGTGATGCGTTTTCTGTGGCACGTTTGGTTTCAGAGTGTTATTTGAAGAGAAATTCTCACTGTTAATAAAACTAGAAAGGGGAAAATTATATTTGCTATTTCATGAAGAGAGACATCTTGTTTGATCTTAAACTTTTCCCTTTAGGATATCCTCCATGGTGTTGGGTAACTAAGACAATGCAGTGGAATGCATAGCTGAGAGGGTGGGTCTTCAAGAAGATGAAGGGTTATTATGTAAGAATCTGGTCCCCATTAAGAATAGAACAAGAGGAAATATGTTTGATTTGCAGAAGGAAGAATTTAGGCTAGATCCAAATAGTCTCTGTATTGGTAATCAGTAAAATAGATGCCCAAGAAAGGCTAAGTAATACCATTCCTAAGAAGATCTGTAAAATTATGACAGAAATTGCATTGTTGATAGTTTTCAAAAATCATAGGGCCTTATGAATATTCTATCCATTATATGAGATTTGCATTACTCTAGGCAATTTTTCAGTATAACTCTTTTCTCTATAATATATATATTTTAATGGATGGTTGAGTTTGATTAAATTGACCAAATTGAAAGTGAAATTCAGTGTTTAGTGTTATATGGGTTATAATTTTCCCACTCAAAGACTTCCATTTAAGGCAAGCCAAAGAAAATTGAAATTGGAGAGAGTTTTAAATATTAGATTTAGGTTCTAAATCCTGATTTTCTTAGGAAGAGTCTAGATTTCTTAAAGGATAGGAATCCATCTTCTTCCCTCCCTCCTTTCCTCCCTCCCTCCCTTCCTCCCTCCCTTCCTTTCCTTCCTCCCTTCCTCCCTTCCTTCCTTCCTTCCTTCCTTCCTTCCTTCCTTCCTTCCTTCTTTCCTTCCTTCCTTCCTTCCTTCCTTCCTTCCTTCCTTCCTTCCTTCCTTCCTTCCTTCCTTCCCTCCCCTTTCTCAAAGCTGATTCCAAAGACGCTTTCTTATAAGGAAGCATTCATAGTATCTGTTTTGTGTTGAAGAGTACCAGAACACTTTTGAACAATGTTTGTGAGAGGTATACAACAAGCGGTGCTGCACTCTCCATATTGATTGTGTCTGTTGATGGAGACCAGAAGATAACTGCACAAATCTTCTTTTCACTTTGCCTAAGAGGATATTTTCATTATAAGTCTATAAGGGGTCAAAAGTGGTTACCAAGCAAGTCCATTTTGAGAAGTGATTTCTATACAAAGGAAGCTTAACAGATAACAAGAACAGAAATGTTAGAAGTATAAATACTTGAAAAATAACAACAGAGGACTTCCATTTCTCACAATATTGCTGATTAATATGAAAACTCTCTTATTAAAAGTTGTCCAGATATATTGGATACAAATATAATAAAATACTTTTAAGTGCTAATAAGAAAGTAAAGAAATACTCTGGAAACTGATCTTTTTACAGTTTGGGATTTATTTTTTTGCCAGTCTAGTTAACAATGGGTTTGTGTTTTAATGGCTATGAAAGTATAGGAGACACATTTTGGGGTCAGTGAGGGGCAGAAATTTGGATATAAAACCCTCAAATAAAGAACCCTTAAATGACTGTACATCTATGAAAGAGAACTGAAAATTTTCATTCTCTCCCAAAGGAAGGTTTAAAGGAAATTCTTTTGTTTAGCCTCATCAGCTAGGGAAGGGGGAAGGGAAGGAAAGAAAGAACCTGAAAAACCTGAAAAAAAAGTCTGAAAACCTCAGTCTCCTCTCAAATTTGAGGTTTGAGTTTACACTCTCTGGAAGGCCTAGATTCTCCAACAAAATAGTATAAAAACTGTTCTCTGGCTGATGACCATACTGGTGCTCTCAACAAAAGTAATTAAAAGTCTTCTCTAGAAAGACATATTTTCAACTCTGAACAGGATACCTCAAGGTAAATCACCAAACATGAACTCGTAGTCCTAAATTACAAAATACATGAAGAAACAATCCAGAATCATGAGCAATAACAAACTTCTTAGACCCTAAGAACTTCAGAAATAGATTATAAAATAAATATATTTAAAAATGTTAAAGAAGGGGCGCCTCGGTGGCTCAGTCGGTTAAGCATCTGACTTGCACTCAGGTCATGATCTCACGATTCATGAGTTTCCGAGTCCTGCATCAGGCTCTGTGTTGACAGCACAGAGCCTACAGCCTAGAGCCTGTTTCCGATTCTGTCCTCCTTCCCTCTCTGCCCCTCCCTTGCTCACACTCTGTCTCTCTCTCTCAAAAGTAAATAAACATTAAAAAAAAGTGTTAAAGAGAAGAAACAAACACTACATAGGTTGTTTGACTCATGAAATAAACCAAGACCAGAGTTCTGCTTTTGGGCAAGAGGACACTCTGTTATTTTCAGAACATCCCCTCTTGCATCTGCAGGGGTTCCATGAGCAAACCTAAACCAGAATGGACACAGTTGCCAGCCTTCAACTGTGGACCATTGAGCAAAAGGAAGTTTAACTTTGTGTTCCAGCTGAAGTCAAGTTTGGAAGGTAGACTAATTCCAAAAGGGTGGAAAGAGTGAGAACTAAATAAAAAAGAAGCAAGACAAAACCAGTGAATTCAGGAGGTGGAGGATGTGGTGTTCCTTCAGGCAAGAGAATACAAATGGAAGTGACCCTTTGTAGGTCACCTTCAAAGGGGACTGAGGTTTGCGGAAATATTCAGAAGCCTTGTTTTGACTATGAAGTGAGGCCAGGTCCAGCGAGAAAAGACTAATTTCAGAAGACTGTCTCTGCTCGGATGTGAATAAGAGAGTTTAGTTTATTTTGTTTTCTTTTTAAGGATTTTATTTTTAAGTAAATTGATATACTCAACATGGGGCTCCAAACTTAAAAGACCAAGAGTTGCATGCTCTATGAATGAAGCCAGCCCAGGCACCCATAGCAAACTTAAAATAATTTTTTAATGTTTATTTTTGAGAGACTGAGAGAGACAGAGTGTGAGCAGGGGAGGGCCAGAGAAAGAGGGAGACACAGAATCCAAAGCAGGGTCCAGGCTCCGAGCTATCCACACAGAGCCCGATGCAGGGATTGGACCAATGAACGGTGAGATCATGACCTTACCCAAAGTCAGACACTTAACCGACTGAGCCACCCAGATGCCCATATCAATTCTGAACCCCTGGAACTATACATACTTAACTACTAGGCCTTGGTTTTTCCTGTCTCTGGCTCAGGAACTTCAGTCCCTTGTTATGTTGCTGTTGGAGACAAAACTACCAGAGTCTTCTGTCTCAACTGATCAGCTTCCAAACGAATAGGACAGAAAAGTTCCTCAGAACTAGAACTGAGTCTTAATGTCTTATCTTAATATGGATTTAACACCATGTCGGGTCTGTAGGTAACACATCACAATGAAAGGAAGTGGGCTCAAGCCATGTGATGGATACCTTTATCCACAATCAATTGTTTGGAACTTTTTGGTACCTGTTTTTAGGACAAGGAATGGAATAGATAAAATTAATTCAAACTGCTTTTGCTTAAGAAATTTCCAGATTTCCCGATAGGAATCCGCTGTCTTCAAGAGCAAAGTCCAACTCAAAGGCAAAAACCAGATTAGCGTAACTTCAGGGGGACACTCAATAGTTGGACATTGTGGTGCTATAAAATGAAACATTCTGGTTCAATAGGGACAACTTAGAGCAAATCCCCAAGGAATCTGGAAAATCATCAGGCAGTTATTTTTAATTCCTTCCTCCCCTACTCCCTTCCTTTCTTCCTCCCCTCCCTTTCTCCTCCTTTTCCTCTTCCCTGTCTTCCTCCTCCTCCTTCCCTCGCCTCCTTCTCTTCTCCCTCTCTCTCCATCATGGCTGTTCCTTTTCTCTCAGCATCCACCTTTGCAGACAGATTTCTCTCCCCACTCATCCGCATCCGCCATATGGTGGCCTCAGACCCACCCCCAAGATGACTGTGCTGTAGTCTGTATTTCAGTCTCGGTCTGTGTCAGGGGCTACAGTCTGACACCTCTTCCAGCCCGAGGCAGGCATGGAAGGGGCAGAAATAACCATAGTCCTAAAAGTAATAAAGTTTCTTTTTATCTCCTTGAATAAAGATAAAGTCATCCTTTGCCCCATGGGATCATTTCGTATTTAAGGGAAGCCGGTATCCCAGGGCTCTTGGGGTGATTCATATAGTTTCATGTAACACTTTCCTGGTTCTTTCAGATTTTGTTGAAGCTAATGATTTTTGTTACAAGTCATAGTGATTGTTCTGGGAGTTGAGTGAATACCTAAGAGTGTGGTTAAGGGGAGAGGAGAATGTTCCTTTTACAGATATCAGGAAACATGAAAGAGAAATAGATCAAATCCTTTACAGATAGAATTCTATTTTTCTTCCTATTTTACTTGGATATGTCCTTTTTCCCCAGCTTTAGAAACTAACATAAAAAAGCAGTTTAGACTTAAGTCGTGCCATTTTGTTTGTTTGTTTTTTAGAACAGCATTTATGATTTATGATACTGTTTGCATGTTCTGAGGAATATTATATCTGAAAAAAATAAGGAATTCACATTAAACGGGCTTTAGAAATAGTTAATTAAACAAAACAGAGGGATGCCTGGGTGGTTCTGTCAGTTGAGCATCCAACTGTTGATCTTGGCTCCAGTCTTGGTCTCAGGTTCATGAGTTCGAGGCCCACATCAAGCCCCACTTTCAGCCCTACGTCAGACTCTGCGCTGACAGTGTGGACCCTCCTTAGGGTTCTCTCTCTCTCTGCCCCTCTCCGGCTCATGCTCACTCTCTCTCAAAATAAATAAATAAACTTTAAAAAATAAAAATAAATAAATAATAAAAATTTTAAAAAATAAAGCAGATTTCTTTACTGCAAGACTCTTCAGTTCCTTTAATATGCTAATGGGCATTGTGGCACTTCTACAGTAGATCACACTTTCCTGACAATTATTTGACCATCAAAAAATCATAGTCCTGGAAACAAAAGCTGTGAAGTTTTTCCTGCCGATGCAAATTTCACTACTGTCTTGACTCAAAGGATTGTCTGATGCTGTGCTTGATTAAAATACTATCCTCCCAGCTCCAAACCCTTCCCCTCTCTACTCTGTTTTGTGATACAGGGGCCAAACCTCTGAAAACCATATTTCTCTTTGGTCATCTGGCTTCTTTGGGAGATGCCCTTGAGAGAGACTGGGTACAGGTGGAAGGTAGAGGGCTATTCCTTCCTCCTTTCTGTTTGCTGTTTCTAGGCATCATCCTATCAGTGCTCTTTTACTTGGCAGCAATAACGAGCTGCTGTCTTCAGCTTCCCTCTACATCCCAGAGCCTTGCTGCAGTCTGAGATGAGGTGGCAGCGGCTCCACGTAGGGGTCCTCTTGGGAGTCAGAGCCCGGGATCCATGAGGCTTCTCCTCAAAGCGCCTGACTACCAAGGCTGGCTTGGCACTGCTCCGCCCGAGGGTGGGCCCTGCCTCTGGGTGACCCTCCCCCAACTTCCAGTTCTGGCAATTCCAACCTCTTCCTTAAGAGTGGAAGCCGCTTGCTGCCTAACTGTGTTATCTCAGTGTTCCTTTTTGCTGTTTTTAGCCCTCCAACATCTGCAACAAGTTTCCCATATCGAATTCTCTCTATTCAGATACCTAGTGTGGTATCTATTTTCCTAACTAGACCTCAGCGGAAAAAAGAATGTGCATGAGAGCTCCTGCACAGGGGAGCCTTTGGGGGTGGAGGGAGGCTGGGAGAGGGGGTAGAAGAGATGGGGACAAAAAGACTTGAATTCCTGCCTTGAGTCTAGAGCGGTGTTTTTCAGACTTTGGACATTCAAGTGACTCGAAGTTTCATTTTGAAAATTTCACACCACTTGAAATAATAGGATACATTCTGGGGTGTTATTAAAATAGAATTATGAATTTCTTTTCATTTGTTAAGTTACTCAGTGATTTTAGTAAAATGTAATGAAATGTAATCCTTCTGCAGGGCCATACTGACCATGATTATAAACCACAGATTAACCATTCCAAGACAGTGGAAAGAGATAGTGTGATTTAGTAGGATATTGGAATTGAATGTTGAAAGTGCAAGCAGTATGTTCAAATGGCATCTCTAAGGTTACATTTAAAAATGTTTGGTTTGGAGGCCCCTGGGTGGCTCAGTTGGTTAAGCCTTGGACTTTTGATCTCAGCTCAAGTCTTGATCTCAGGGTGGTGAGGTCAAGCCCCACTTTAGACTCCACATTGGGTATAAAGACTACTTGAAAAAAAAATTGGAGTCATCTGGGAAAGCATTAAAATTACAGATTTGACCCTAGGACCAGGGATTCAGACTTTACTGGGTTGGGCCCCTGGAACTGTTGTTTTTGGAAAACCCTATGTGATCAAGGGATTCTGATAATTGACAGGTTTAGGGTCCATTATTATATAGAATAAAAACTTCTAATTTTTTTAGAGTTCAGATTCAAAATTCAGTATTTTCATGGTTTTTTTTTTTTTTCTCCATTATAAGTCTGAGCTAAGGGACACCTGGGTGGCTCTATCAGCATTTGCCTTGCTCTTGATTTTGGCTCAGGTCATGGTCTCCTGAGTGCATGAAATCGAGCCCTGTGCTGACAGTGTGGAGCCTGCTTGGAATTCTCTCTCTTCTCTCTCTCTCTCTCTCTGCCCCTCCTCCTACTTGTGTTCTCTCTCTCTCAAAATAAATAAACTTTTTTTAAAAAGTCTGAGCTAGGAGCACAAGTGTTGACAGTCTCTCTCCTAGCAGGGGGCAGCCGGGAAACGGGGGGGTTGGAAGAAACAAAAGGCAATGGACCTTCTCTCCAAGGCTGACTTTTGAAGGGCTTTTGATGATCTCCACCCAGTGTCAAAGCCAATCATGGAGCCTCAGAACCAAGGCAGTTCTGGCAGGCTGTTTCCACACCACAACACCATCTCTGTCTGCATGTTGGGGCTCTGAGGGGCTGCTTGCTGTCAGGATGCTGAGATTCTAAGCTATATAAGCTTTTTATAAGCAGTGAAGAGCTTAGAGCTTTTTCCAGGTTGTTACCTTTGTGGGATTCTAAGATATAGTGACCAGGCATCATACTTCTTAAATATAGTATTTTACATTTTTTGAAATTTTTGTTTTTGAGAGAAAGACAGAGCATGACTAGGGGAGGGGCAGAGAAAGAGACAGAGACATAGAATCCAAAGAAGGCTTCAAGCTCCGGAGGTGTCAGCATAGAGCCAGACATGGGACTCAAACTCATGAGCCCTAAAATCATGACCTGAGCCTAGGTCAGGTGCTTAACTGAGCCACCCAGGTGCCCCCACCCCTCGACTTCTTAAAAACACAGCCAAATATGTCTACAAATACTGTCAGGAGCTTAACAAATAAATGGGAAGTGAAATAAATAAAAGAACACAACCATGGTCAGCAGCAAGAAAAGGTCTCATTTAACTTTAGCTAGGGTCAATTTTCTTGCATCGAGAACCTCTGTATTTTTTTTTAAGCCTTCTGTGGAAAAAGTGATAAAGGGTATCTCTCTGGCAGTGTGGGTCCTTACTCTCTCCCCGTGCACCTCCTCCTCACCACACCTGGCAAAACTGAAGAAATCAAGGACCTCCTGCTCAAAGCCGGGGGAAAGGATGCCAAATCTGTTAAGATCAAGAAAAATAAAGATAATGTGAAATTTGAAGTTTAGTACAGCAGATACCTTGACACCTTGGACAAAGGGAAAAGGCAGAGAAACTGAAGCAGTCCCTGCCCCTGTGTTTCACAGTGAAGGAACTGAAATGAACCAGACATGCTGATTTAACTGTATTAATTTTTTTTAATTCAAACATACAAATAAGCAAATAAATATTTTTTTTAGGAGGCGGAAAGGATACTTGTTTTCCAGCCGTTCCAACTGGACAATTACAGGGACTCCAGTTTGGATAATATCGTTGAGTTACTTGGAATAGTAGGTCCTGGGTTTGATCAGGAAATTCACCAGGCTTGTGGCTTTTCAATAGTGGAATCTGTTGACACAAAAATTCCTCAGCACATTGGGTGATTCAAGTGCACTTTCATAATTTGCTCTCATTTTACCCTCTTTGTTATTTCCACATTCCACAGGAATCCATCACTCCCCTCTGAATTATGTGCTGCTCAGAACTGATGCTCATACCACCCAATCAGGGAGGGCAACCTCAGCTTCTTAAACTCACAGAACCTATTGTTCCGTCTCTTTCTTACCAGGCGCTGTCACTGCAGCCCTATACTCCAGCTGGGAGGGCATGGAAATGACTCCCCAGAGAGCCATTCATCACAGTAATAAATGTTCTGTGTTTTACTAAGTTCCATCAAAGTTCACTTCCACACCAAAGCAAAGCGTTTGTTCTCTATGCATTCTTTGTGTGTGTGTGTGTCAAAATATACTGTTCACAAATGTGTATAAGCTATTTGTATATGTGTGATCAGTAAACTTGAAGCTGTGCATGCACATCTATACATAGACCGTGTGTGGATTTGTTTGTTTTTCAGGAGATGTGAGCCTCTGGTGATATACTAGGCTTTACAAAACACCTCGATGCCTGGCTGAACCACCACCTTCACAGGCTTCATGTAGATACTGCCACTGCTTAGATGAATGGATTTTAATTAATTATTATTCTCCCATTTTCTGCCTAGCCTCCCAGGTGTGTTGACTTTAATTGCTTTACTCATTTAAACATCTCTAAAGACCGCCATAGGTTAGTCAGCAGTGCAAGCCGATTGTTGGCTTTCTTCTCTCCCTCTTTTTGTCCACATACGCAAATAATCGGAAGCATTCATGGCTCAGTAATGAGGTTGCAATTCTTCTCCGTGGAGTCCAGGAAAACATAAAAGGCAGCCTGTGTTTAGTTAACATCAACGGTCTTCATCATCTTCTTTCTCCTATATGCTCTCTGCTGACTTACTTTAGAAAAGAAACAAACATTACCCTAGCTTCTCAGAGCACGCAGCTCTGTTATTGAGCAATCTTAGAACAATTTACTACGTAAGCCATCCAGAGCAACGCGTGCGCGCGCGCGCACACACACACACACACACACACACACACACACCGTGTCAATGTCAAAACAACAGTTTGGGCATCTTTCCTTGTGTTTAAACCTCACTTGCTCAATAGCATATTTAATAAAATATACACCGACTTATTCTGTCCAGCACTACTTAATGCAATAACTCACACACACAAAAAGGCCTAAGCCTTTAGCCACAGATGTCATCATATAAGAGGTTTTGTAATAATGCTCTGTAATTTAACATTTGGATTTTAAGATATGCCTTGTTAAGAAAAACAAAAGGGCTTATTAACTCATTTGCTTTCCTTATTAACTCTATTTTTTAATTGACTGAGCAAACATACAATTAGAATGGCAATTTGTTAGGGTCATACATTAGCTGAAAAGAAAAGAAACAAAAAGCTAGAGTAGAAGCTAGGAATTATCAAAGGCTTATTTTGTTTGAGTTAGAATATGATATCTATTAAGTAGGTGGATGACAGTCTGTCCTTTTACATACTAAAGATAAACATCTTAGACATAATTTGGCTCTGGCTACCTTAATTTTAATTGCAGGAAAAGATAAAGTGGAACACAGATTAAACAAACAAACAAAAACCAAACTGTGCCAACAAGCCTAAGGAAAGAACAGTTCCAAATTTTTGCTGAACTTAACTTTGCTTCAGTTGATCCATACAGCCTCCTATACCATTCCAAGAAACAGTGAAACTTTGTGGGGTTTTAGTATGGATGCTATTAGAGGTTCAAGTGGTTTGAACAAAATTATGGTTGTGTAGACCCACCCATTCTTAGATCAAAAAATAGGTAACCAGGTTACAGGTTATAAATTGATAATTAAGCTTTTTGTAATGGAATCTGCAGTTTATAACCAAATCTCCTATTAAATGTCTGTCATGTGTTATATATGCATTACTTTCAATTCTAAACTTTTCGTTCACTAGTTTTATTGAAAAGTAAGTGACATACAGTCCATCATTGTATAAGCTGAAGGCATACAGCATGATAGTTTGATTTATATATATTGTGAAGTGATGACCACAATAGATGCATCTTTCATACAGGTACAATAAAAAGAAAAGGAAAAAAGAAAAAAAAATTCTCCTTGTGATGAGAACTCAGGGGATTTATTCTTTTAACAACTCCCTGTATATCACACAGCAGTGTTAGCTCTAGTCATTATGTTATATATTACATCCCCAGTACTTAATTTTTTTATACCTGGAGGTTTGTACCTTTTGACCATGTCTGGTAACCACAAATCCGATCTTTTTCTGTGAGTTTGTTGTTTTTATTTTTTTGTTTTTTCTTCTTTAGATTCCACATATAAATGAGATTACACAGTATTTGTCTCTTATATCTGTCTGACTTACTTCACTTAGCATCATGCCCTCAAGGCCCATCCATGTTGCAAATGGTAGGATTTCCTTCTTTTTTTTTAATGGCTGGATAATATACCTGTGTGTGTGTGTGTGTGTGTGTGTGTGTGTGTGTGTGTGTGTAAACATGGGAGTACAGATGGATTTTTGAGTCAGTGATTTCATTTTCATATATTCCCAGAAGTAAAATTGCTAGGTTATACAGTATTTCCATTTTCAATATTTTGAGGATCCTCAATACTGTTTTCCACAGTGTCTATACCAATTTACAATCCCACCAATAATGCACAAGGGTTCCCTTTTCTCAACATCCTCACCAGGATTTGTTCTCTCTTGTCTTTTTGATGATGGCCATTCTATCAGGCATGAGGTGATAGCTCACTGTAGTTTTAATTTGCATTTCCCTAATGACTAGTGATATTAAGCATCTTTTCATGAACCTGTTGGCCTTTCATTATATCTTCTTTGGAGAAATGTCTATTCAGGTCCTTTCCCTATTTTTTAATTGAGTTATTTGTTTTTTTGGTATTGGGTTTTATTTTTACTATTGAGTTGTATGACTCTTCATATATTTCGGATATTAACCCCTTACCAGATGTTTGCAGATTTTCCCCCCATTCCATAGGTTGTATTTTTAATTTGTTAATGATTTCTTTTGCTTTGCAGAGCTTTTTAGTTTGATATAGTCCTAACTTGTTTTTTGTTTTCCTGCTTGTACTGTAGGTGTCAAATCCAAAAAATCATTACCATTACCTATTCAAGGAGCATTATTCCTATGTTTTTTTTGTAGAAGTTTTATGGTTTCACAACTAACACATGTCTATAGTCCATTTTGAGTTAATATTTTATGAGTAGTATGAAATATAGATCCAGTTTCGTTCTTTGACATGTGAATATCCAATTATCCCACACCACTTATTATAGAGGATATGTTTTCTCCATTGAATATTCTTGACTCCCCTGTCAAATATTAGTTGATCATAAATGATTGAGTTTGTTTTTGTGCTCTCAATTCTGTTCCACTGGTCTATTTGTCTGCTTTTATACCAGTGCTATACTGTTGTGATGACTATGGTGTAGCTTGAAACTAGGAAGTATGGTATCCCTGTTGTGTTCTTTTTCAGGATTTCTTTGGCTCTTTGGGGATTTTTGTGGTCCATATAAATTTTAGAAGTTTTTTTTTATTATTGTAAAAAAATGCCATTAGAATCTTAATAGGGATTACTTTGAATTGATGGATGGCTTTTAGTAGTATTGACATTTCAACAATATTTATTCTTCCTGTCTATGAACATGGGATACATTGCCATTATTTTGTATCTTCTTTTATGTCTTTCATCAATGTCTTAAAGTTTTCAGAGTATACAACTCTTTGAATTCCTTGAAAAAATTTATTCCTTAGTATTTTATTGTTTTTCATACTATTGTAAGTGGGATAAATGTCTTCCTTTCTTTATTTCTTTATTTTTATTTTTGAGACAGAGAGAAAGAGTGCAAGGGGGAAAGGAGCAGAAAGAGATTGAGACAGAGGATCCAAAGCAGGCTCTGCACTGACAGCAGAGAGCCCGATGCAGGGCCCAGATTCACAAACCACAAGATCATGACCCTGAACTGAAGTCAGATCTTCACCAACTGAGCCACCCAGGTGCCCCTTTGTATGTTAATTTTATATCCTGCCATTTTACTGAATTTATTGATTAGATCTAACAGGTTTTTTTGTTGCATCTTTAGGATTTTCTATATCTAAAATTATGTCATCTGCACAATGAGACAGTTTTATGTCTTCTTTACTAACTCTGATACATTTTATTTCTTTTTCTTGCTTGACAACCATGGCTAGGACTTCTAGTACTATACTGAAATAGGAGTGCTAAAAGTGGGCACCCTTACCTTGTTCTTGATCTTAGAGGAAGAGCTTTCAACCTTTCACCATTGAGTATGATGTTAGCTGTGTGCTTGTGATATATGATCTCTATGTTGCCGAGATGTTTCTTCTGTGCATAGTTTGTTAAGAGTTTTTGTCATGAATAGATATTGAATTTTGTCAAATGCATCCAGGAATAAATCCCACTTAATCATGGTGTATGATCCTTCTACTGCAGAATTCAATTGGCTAGTATTTTATTGATAATTTTTGCATCTTTTTATATTTATCAAAGTTATTGGCCGATAGTTTTCTTTTCAAGCAGTGTCCTTTTCTGGTTTTGGTGTCAGGATAACACTGGCTCATAAAATGAGTTTGGAAATGTCCCCTCTTCTCTGATATTTTGGAACAGTTTGAGGAATATTTGTGTTAATTCTTCTTTAAATGTTTGGTAAATTTCACCAATGAAGCCATCTGATGGGACTTTTCTTTGATGGGAAAATTTTA